TTCAAAACCAAAAAATACTTCTTATTATTTCTGGTGCACTATGTGAAACTGTTGTGCCACGCGTTCATAATATGACACAAATCTATTCAATTTATGTATTCTGTCAAAAAAAAGAAAAATATGAAGAATGGGCAAAACAGTGGTCCAAAGTAAAAGGTATTTTCACTGAAATTATTCCAATTTGTGATGCAGTTCGACAATCTGCTCGACAATGTGACGAAGATTCTGTCCCAATCGGTTCTGAAATCGAACCCTCATTCATGTATACACAACTTTTCAAAGAAATTATTCTCACAATCGATTTTGATAAAACGAAAGAAGCGAAAGAATTAGTCGAATATGCCCGTAAACACCCGGACTATGTCGAAAACAATGAACAGTTGCAATTTATCAATAAATTTGGTGAAGAGTATACTAACGATAATATAACCTTCAAAATTATTGATAAACTTGGTAAACATCATCCCGGAAATGTCGATGACAAGCCTATTTGGTGGTACAGCAAGGAAGGCTTCACCTACCAATTAGTCAACAAAGCTCTACGCTCTCTAGACGTCAGTACTCTTCTAAAAATGGGTTTCTTCATTTGTGACGTTCACCATAATATCGAAAAACTTCATCTCGAACAATCTAATGGAACTCATGCAGTTACTTTACCAAGTACTGTCTATCGAGGTCAAATGATGAGAAAGGAAGATTTTCGAAACAAAATTAAACAAGATAAACTCATATCCTTTAATAGTTTTTTATCAACAAGTGAAGATAGCATGATTGCACTCCGCTTTATTTCTTCTACTGGCAATAATGTGATCGGTGTTCTATTCACTATAACAATTGATCGATCACATTCATCTTCACCATCATCAGCAGCGATCTTTGCCTCCGTCAGTGCCATTAGCAAGTATTCAGACGAAAAAGAGATTCTCTTCTCTACTCACACCATTTTTCGCGTCCAGAAAATCGAACCTAAGAAAGAAAACGGAAGAACATTACAGCAAGTATACCTAACGCTCACCAATGACAACGATGACCATCAGCTAAGTGATCTCACCAAACAATTACGAAAAGAGATTACTGGTACAGGATGGCAAAAAATGGGTACATTGTTATGGAAACTCGGCGAGAATAATAAAGCCGAACAATTGTACAACATGTTACTCAACGAGGCATCAAATGAAGATGATGAATCTTACTGTTATCGCCGTCTTGGAATGATTAAGGATAATCTAGGACAATACAATGAGGCCATCAAATTTCGTCAAAAATCTTTAGATATCGACGAGAAAACTCTCCCTCCAAATCATCCCGACTTGGCTGCTTCCTACAACAACATCGGTAATGTGTATAGAAAGATGGGCGAGTACTCAAAAGCACTTTCATTGTACGAACGATCACTTGAAATCCAAAAAATAGCTCTCCCTCCGAATCATCCCGACTTGGCTGCTTCCTACAACAACATCGGTTTGGTGTATGATGAAATGGGCGAGTACTCGAAAGCACTTTCATATTACGAACGATCACTTGAAATCCGAAAAATAGCTCTCCCTCCGAATCATCCCGACTTGGCTGCTTCCTACAACAACATCGGTTTGGTGTATGATGAAATGGGCGAGTACTCGAAAGCACTTTCATCGTATGAACGAGCACTTGAAATCTTCAAAATAGCTCTCTCTCCGAATCATCCCGACTTGGCCTCTAACTACAACAACTTTGGAGAAGTTTATAATCACATGGGCGACTACTCGAAAGCGCTTTCCTTCTTTGAACGTGCGCTAAGTATTCTGAAATTCGCTCTTCCTGCGAATCACCCTGATTTGGCATATCCATACAATAACATTGGCTTGGTTCATGAAAAAATAGGTGACTACTCAAAAGCACTCTCGTTTCTACGACAGGCACTTGATCTCCGCGAAAAATCTCTCCCGGCGGCACATCCTAAAATTCAAGAATCACAAAATAATGTTGGGCGCGTAAAAAACAAAATGTAATTTTTTTTTGCTCTTTTCAAAAGAAAAAATAAATTGGCTATTCATGTACATAAGGCTCACCGAAACGCACCAGCTGCAATAATTTCGCACACGCGCGACCAGGGATACCCTCCGTATTCTATTGGGTTGTACAGTGGACAAAGCCGGCAATGATAAGGCAAACATACATTTATGCATGTATGACTAGCACATCCATGATCATCATCTTCGGAAAGACGATGACGAGATGGATGCTTCTAGTCACACATACATAGATATATGTTATGAAGGCCTACCATGTACACGCCTGCACAGGTTACCAACAGAACGTCGGATATCCCTGGGAAGGTTCATTTTGTTTTAGAGCCACCCTC